GATCAACACGATGACAGATGTTGCAGCCAGCTCGCCCTCACATCCAGCCAGTCTGTTTTTGACTTGGTCAACCTAGAGAGTTAAAAGAAAGCATTAGTTTGTCTATGTAGTTTACCATGTGTGAGTATGAATTTGAATTCAAAGAATATGAGACTAGCAGAGACCATTTATTTCAACCCCTTTTATTTAAAAAAGAAACTGTCATGTGAAGTGTAATAAGCCAGGCATAGACAGACAAATACTTCATGTGCTCACTTACATATAGAGTCTAAAATATCTTCTAGATATAGAATCTTCTAGATCAGAGTAGAATAGTGGTTATCCAGGGCTCCAGATAAGGAGGAAGAGGAGTTTAGGGGGAAATTGGTCAATAGGTACAAAGTTAGTCAGAAAAAATAACCTCTGCTCTTCTATTATATATTGGGTAAACCAATAGTAGTGCAATGAACATTTCAAGATAGCTAGGAAAGAGGTTTTAGACTAAAAATTGCTTAAGGAAATATTTTTGTTTAATAAAATTTTTATGCTACTTTGACTTGATCATTATAAAAATATAAACATATCTTGAAACACTTAACCGTGGGCTCCACAAATATGCAATTATTATGTGGTATTATTCATCATTATTTAAAAAATAGTGAAAATAAAACCCAAAATGAAGAAACCAAGGGCCAAAGATGAGCTGTGTAGTTCTGGGTCGAGGAGAAGCTCGAGAGAGGCAGGCGCCCTCCGTCTCAGGTAGTCCTGCCTTGTGGACTGTCTCTGTCTCACCTTCCTGACCGCATTGTTACGAGCATTTCAGCTAGGGTGGAAATTTATTGCAGAAGCACAGCTGGAAACACAGAATAATGCTTCCTAACTTCCTCGTGTGTCTTTGACTTTTTTAAAGCACTTTTATTACTTCTGTAATTTGAAACCCAGTGTGCTTTTCAGTGTTTGTTCTGAGTACACCTCTCATTTGAGATTACTGTCTGTCTTTTTCTTCCTACATAATTTGCAATGAAACCCATATTATTTCTCAGCTACTGAATTTCTAATTATAGAGTTTCTCAGAGTCCCCACAGCCTCAATTTGTATTTTATCCTGCGGAATTTGAAAAATTATTACTTCTCTTTCTGCTCTGGTGTATGTAGCTTTCCGCTGGTAGCGTAACTTGTTTTGATACTTTCATTTCTTAATTAAAGAGGGTCTGTTTAAACCATTTTCCATATATAAATCTAACAAAAAATAGTTTTGATCTGGAACACTAAGAAAGTGCTAAAATACAGAAAGTGGACACAGTAAAATGGAGAAAAACGTTAGCATCAGCATCTATACTTAATTATGGAGTACATCCTATGACAGGAAGTTATTGCATTCAAAATTCATGTATGTGTGTGCACGAATATGTCCATTTATAGTGTCCCATTATATGAGCACACACTATTGCAAATTAATGTTGCATCTGTGCACTATATGAATATTTATGTCTTATTATGTGCATTGCATTATATTTGCTTTATATAATACATATTTTTGATGCTATTCCTAGTTTCCAAAATTTAATTTCTTTATTGCTGCTTAATCTTAATTTTATGTAGCCAGTAAAATTTATTTATCTGCCTCCTAGAGGAAGATACTTAGTTGAATCCTAAATATTCACTTAATATTGATTTTATGCATGGGTATTAGACTGGTCAATGAATGTGATGGTAATATTATTTTAATAAATTCTTTTAAAAACATAAGGCATGTTTTAGTAAGTTTATAAGGCTTTTTTGGTAAGTTTTATTTTGAAAAATATCTGTGATTATACTTCATTTGTTGTTTAGTTCAGGTATTTTCCCCCTTATTTATATTTCTTCATATATGACCATAGTAGTTCCTTTCCTACATTATATTGAAATCAATGGTTTAGCTTTTTTTTTTTAGGTATAGTTAGATGCAAGTTAGTTTTTAGTTATTTTTAAACAGATGTGTTGTGAAATCTACCACTTCATATCCTACACTTTCTTTATATAAGAAGTCACTCTTCAATTTGAGAGCATGTATGCATTAGCTGTGATCTTTTACTTTATACAATTTTAATTTTATGCTGAGTGTTTGAATATAGCTAGAACAATTGTTTTAGAATTTTTATTTCAAAATCTATTACATCTGACCGCTTTTAATTGCCATAGTCATTATGGGTATTGTAACTTTGGCTGTTGTCATATTTATAAATTTATCATTTTTAATTAATTAACTAGGTACAGGGTCTCACTACACAGCTTGCACTTGTAGTGATCCTTCTGTCTTAGCCTCTCCATTGCTGGGATTACAGGTGTGCACCACAATGCCCAGTCTCGTTGGCTGGCACAGCAGCATGGCATGTGGTACTGGGGACTGAACCTGGGTCCTTGTGCTGGCCAGACCGGTGTAGAGACTGCTGAGCTATCTTCCCAGCCCGAATTTATCATTTCTTGATCAGTTGCACCAGCCTCTTTTTATTTCATTATCATATAAAATGATTTTAGCCATACTCCTCATTACATTAAAAATGTCGTTCACTCTTCTTATACACTTGCCCCCTTTCTCAGTACATATCAGTGAAACCTTAATTTAGAGTTGCACTATACATATACATTAATCTGAGTAGAATTGATTTCATGATAGCTCTTCCTTTCTGGATCATGATATATTTCTGATTCCATCTAACCTGAAAATTTTATCTTTTGTATAGTTTTTCTTCTTGTCATTTCTGCTTAGCATAACCTATTCTGTGGATCATCAAAGTTTTTCATGTGTAAGCACTTTATTCCTTTTTTATTATTAAGTTGCATTATACAGATAGTCACAATTTGTTTATTTGTATACTTTTTAGTTGATGATGGGTTCTTCAAGTTTTAAGAACTGTTAACACCTAAATATGCAAGTTTTGTGGTCATGTAAGTTCATATTTAACATTGTAAGATCCACCAGCATGTTTCACAAAATATAGCATTTTTATCATTTCTTTCAGTGTTGTTTAATGGTTTCATTGTTTTGCATCCTTACCGATATTGTCTTCTGTTTTTTTAAATTTTAGTCATTCTAGTTTGAAATGATATGTAAATTTGATTTTAATTTACATTACAGTTATTGATGACCAATGGCACCAAGCAACATTTTTTTACTATTCTTGGGTGATATAACTTTGCTTAAGTGTATTCAGTATTTTGACAATTTAAGAAAATCTTATTAGCACACATGCAGTACCTCGAGTTTACCATCATCTTAGGAGGTGGGTGCATGCACATAGCACAGCTTGATTCTTTTTGAATAATAATTCAATTATATGTGGGTATATGTATAGTGCTCTCTAAATTAAGGTTTCAATGATATGTACTGAGAAAGGGGGCAAGTGTATAAGAACAGTGAACGACATTTTTAATGTAATAAGGAGTATGGCTCAAATCATTTTATATGATAATCAATTATTATTCCTCTCTCCATCTTTAATTCTTCTGTCCCAATTTTCATTTTTACTATTATTATTAATTCACGTTTATGACATATAATATTTATGTTTGCTCTTGAGTATTTGGTACCCGTGCATGACACATCTTAAGTCTCCTTACTGCCCTCACCCTCAGCCTATCTCTCTTTCTGTCTCCTGGATTCCTTCCTGTTTGCAAAAGATCTGCTCCTTGATCCTTTTATCCATCCTTTATTTTGCTCCTTGTTTGTGCTTTGCCTTATTCAAAAGAGTAATATCATATGATATTTAAACTCCTATATTTGTTTTATCTCACCAATATTAAATTTCTCAGTACATCTATGTCCTATAAATGTCTTGAATTTATCCTTCTTTATATACAAGTAGAGGGCCAGCCAAATAGCTTAGCAGATTAAAGTGCCTCAAGCAGGTGCAGGGGTCTGGGGTTTGATCCCCGAGCCTGCTGTGCCAACTCCGCCCCTGGGGTATGCTGAGACAGTGATTGAGACTGGGCGTGGTGGTGTGTGCCTGTAATCCCAGCACTTGGGAGGCTGTAAACAGGAGAATCACTACCAGTCTGATCTAATAGTGAGGCCCTGAACACCCTGTATACCCTTCCATAAAATACAGAAAAAAATAAACAAGTAGCAGTCCATTGGGCATAAACATCATGTTTTCTTCATCCATTTATCACTTTATTTTATTATTTCATTTTTTTATTTGGTACCAGGGATCAAACTCTGGACCTTGTGCTTGCTGGGCAGGTGCTTATGCTGCTGAGCTATCTCCCTGGTCAAGTCCGTTTATCTCTTGATGAGTACACAGACTGCTTGCAGGTTTTAGCTACTATGAATTATTACACTATAAACATTGGTATGCATATGTCACTGTGTTATGCTGTCTTGAGCTATGTAGAGAAGCTACCTAGAAGGAGTATCTGGGACCCCAGACTGACTTCTGTGCTGATTGTAATAGTTCACCTTCTTATCAGCAATGCAAGCAGTTTCCTTTCTCACTGAAGCAATGTCAGCATTTCCTATTGTTTGACTTCTTTTATTTTTTACATGTATTTGGTACAGAGTCTCACTATCCAGCTCAGACTCATAGTGATTCTTGTGTCTCAGCCTCCCCAGCACTGGGATTACAGGCATGCGTTTTTGAAGAATGATTTTGTAATGATCATTATTCATCTATGATGCCTATAGTTTTATTTGATCTCCAATTTTAAATGTAGCAGAATTGAATCAATCTAACATTCTTTAAGGAACTTAAGAGTTTATTTACATGTTTATTTTTAATTTTTTATTCTGTAAATGTCTATGGATCTTTTCTCAAATAAATCTAACAAGAATGACAATGTCAGAAAGTATAGTATATCATTAGAAGTATCTTTCAGGAAAGGTATAAAATTATTAGGTATTGGTATAAATTATTATAATTTTATAAACCTTTATATCAACTTGATTCATTAGACTTATCTGCTTTAATGTTTTCGATAATAAATAGAATCAACATTACTTCATCTTCTCTTTGTAACTTGGATCTTCTGCTTTGTTATTTTTAGGATATTTTTCTCTGTCAACAAAATCCACACCACTTTCTAAGAAGTCTGTTGGTGAGTGCAATGGGCTGCTGTTCTGTACCTTGTCATGAGCCTTTCTGGTTTGCAAAACGTGGTATGCAGTCATTTCCTGCATACTGTAACTGCTGCCCTCCCCCTTCCCAAAACTACTCCCCCCAAGGAAAAGCAACGATTTTATATTTGAGCCAACATTTTCTGTCATATGTATAATAAATATTATATATATACATGCTATTATATACATGTATTTTCTTTCATATACATATGTTTCCCTTCAAAATTTTAACATTTATTTCTTACTATTAGAGCTTTTCATGGCTTTATAGCATTTATTATGAATTTTTATTTTTATTTTTTTGTATTCTAGTACAGGGTCTACAGGGTCTCACTGTGTGAATCATACTAGTAGTGAGTCCCCTGTTTTCAGCCTCCCAAGTGCTGGAATTAATGCCCAGTCTCAGTCGCCATCTCCGAGTTGCCCCGGGGTCGGGGCTGGCATGGCATGCTGGGAACTGAACCCTGGCGCTACACTCTGCCTAAGCAAGCGCTGTAGTTTGTTGAGCTATTTATCTTGCCCTATAATATTAATTGTTATTATGTAATTTAATTTTTGCTGTTTCTGAGCTAGAGAATTTCTTTATTCTGTTCATCTCATTCTGTATTTATTTATTTTTATGAGCAGAATATATTTATTGAGAGAGAGAAAGCTCCTGTCCAAGAGGGACAGGAGGGGGGCCTGAGTGGGTAGTTCCCTTCTGTTGTTTTTTAACCTCAATAAATTTTCTCTTAATGGAAGCACACACCAGTTTCTGAAATGAAACTTTTTTTTCTAATGAGGATATATGGCGTTTGTGCAAATGTACTTGGATATTTGGAAAGATATATATTTCTCTATTGAAGAGTTCAGTGATGATTTCTTTCTGTTAATTTCATCACAAGGATCTTACCAGCTAATTCTCTATTATTCTAGGCCAGATTTAAAAACTACTTAGCTAGAAATAAACCAACAGTTTAGGTCTATCAATTGCATTTGGCCTTCCAGAGTTCCAGATAATAATATCAGGTATTTACATATACTTTTTTCCTCAGATGTATATGTAATGTATGTATTTGGGAAATGGCCCCAGGCCCTGTGCACTGGAAACACCTCCAACTCTTTCTGAATCTTTTATTTTGAGCCCATTCTCCAGACTGAATTCAATTTTGCAATCCCACTGTCTCATCCTCCCAGAGTGCTCGTGGCTTTTATTGGTATCAGTCAGTGAGGTGAGAGGGGGTCACAGCAGAGTACTAGGGAAAAGAAATGTTGCAGACTTTGGCTGTAAGGAGAAACAGTGATTTTGTACCAGGCACAAAGGCCTGTAATTAAGCAATACAGTGGACATCTTGATGTGTGCAAAGCTAGTATCTTGTATGCAAGGCGTAATTCTTTCTGAGTCCCATGGCCCAGCTGAGATGCTATCTTATGTCTTAGTCCTGGAGTCTCACAGGCTCTTGCTCAAGCCCCTGTTCTAGCCTTCAGCAGGGGGGACAGTTCTCTTCCACATGCTGTAAAGAGGCAAGTTGGCATCTTGGCTGAACTTGGTTACATTCTTCTAGTCAATTAAAAGAACATCTGTTTCATAGCCAAGTTCATATATTTCCATGAATCTGGTTGAAGGAGAGGTCAGGGAAACACGAAGGCAAAGGGCTTCATTGCTCAAGAGCACTGCCTGGTGGTGTCCCGCGATGGATATCACGCTTGATATTAAAATAAAGTTAGTCATTTTTCTAAGGATGTATTCTTGGAAGTAAAGCCATTGAGATAAAGTACAAAACACATTTATGAGATTTGATATGTATTGACAAATTTCTTTCTCAAAAGTTGATACAAAATTAAAGTTCTAGAAATAGTGCATGCACATTCTTTCATAAAAAATCATTTGGGATAAATTTTTGGGGTGAATATATACTTATGAAACATATTACAATTCTGATAAGTTACCAAAAGAAAATAAAAATGACCAATTGTTTCACTGTCCTGAAATAATTATTAATCTTTCTTAGTTATTTCACTTTTTAGCAAAAGATGGGAAAATGGATAGATATATAGATGATAGATAGATGATAGAATAAACATATTGATAGGAATATAATGATGAAATTTAAGGTGGATATATTTTGGGGCATTATACATAATCCTTTGAATACTGTTTTATACCTAATATATGGTATTTATTTCATCAATGTAAGTTCTAGGAAGAAAACTAAAAATTTTATTGTGTGTTTGGTACACAATAGATACACATACATAAACAATTTCAAAAAATTGTACTTTTTGTTCTTACCAATCATGTATGTGGATATTTGTTATACTTACCTAGTGAATTTTACTAGTTTCCTATATTATATTTTGGTAAGGAAAATGATACCTTATTATTATTTAATTTATTTATTTAGTATAGGGTCTTGCTGTGAGACTCCGACTCATAGTGATCCTCCTGTCTCAGCCTCCCCAGCGCTATGATTACAGGCATGCACCACCACACCCAGTTTCAGTGGCTGGCACAGTATGCCTAGGGTGGGGCTGGCATGGTATGTGGTACCTGGGACTGAACCTATGTCTTTGTGCTTGCCAGGCAGATGCTTAGACTGTCACGCTATCTTCCCCAGCCCCAATACCTTATTATTTAAATTTGTATTCATTTGAGAACTGGTCACATAAAATGTTTTTTAAGCAATTATCTCTATATAAATGTTCTTATATAAAATATTAACATTTATAATAATTTTACCCAAATGTACCAGTATGTTTGTCACATTAACAATATTAATATATCAATTCAGAATATTGCTTCTATTTTATAATTTATACAGATAAAAGTATGTATCATAATTTGTAATTTTTTACTACTTACAGTTAAGAAAGTCTTTATGTCTAATAAATACGTGACTTTGAATTGAATGTTCAGTAAATTATGTGGATGTGCTAATCAATTGAAATCCTATCTCAAAGTTCAGTTTTGATGTCTGTAACAGCAACAAGAAAATGAGAGTTTCCCAGTCCTCAGCTTATCTGATTATTTTTCTTCTCGAATTTCAGAGAATAAAAGACCATGCCTTGAATTCTCTAAGCTAACTGTAAAGGATTCCTTAAAAGAACTGTTTATTCCTAGATTAAAGATAAGCCTAATGCTGTATACAAGGAACAACTTCAACTGTGCTAAATCACTGTTTGAGCAAAATAACTCACTTAATATTAATTTCAACATACACAAAAAAACAGTCTGGCTTATTCATGGATACAGGCCGATGGGCTCCACACCATCATGGCTTCATAATTTTGTATGGATTTTGCTGAATAAAGAAGACATGAATCTAGTTGTCGTCGACTGGAACCAGGGGGCTGCTACTTTTATTTACAACAGAGCAGTAAAAAACACCAGAAAAGTTGCTGTGATTCTAAGTAGGTACATTCAGAACCTTTTGGTAAGTTTGGAAAATTTATGCATTAACATGCTATACAAATACATTGTATTATGCAGTAATACAGAGTAGCAATACCACCCATACTTTTTTTCTAAAAGAATTTAAATTTACTGCTTTAACATATTGACTTATGCAGCTATATTTTTTTGCTTGTTATTAATTCTATACCAGAATTGGTCCTGTCATATTTTTAAATAACCTTAAAGATGAAGTTATCTCACTTAAAATCCTTTTATGAATTTCTCTAGCAATACCAACACTAATGTCAGAAAAACTATTGATCTATGTGGACAGAGATTTATAAACCGTACAAGTATAATCAGTGGAAAGATCAGATAATATGTATGTAGCTGACAATGTGAATTGGTAAAAGTGAGGAGAACACAGCTTAGAAAGCAGAGCACTTGCCTATTCTGAATGCAGTTCTTTGTTGTAGTTAAGTCTACTTAGGATTGGATCGGATCAAATAAATTCTACATCTTCTGTGCTCTGAATGAGTCTTGTTTACTAAGTTAGCCTTTACCCTTAAAACAGACCTGTAACTGTCCTGAGAAGCAGTAGTGATGGGTACTTGAGAGAAGGAAGGTTATGTTTAATATGTAAGGCATTCTTGGGCTTAAAAGCTGCAATTGTATTGTGCTGTGCTGACCTTCTGAGCCTCTTCTGAAATTGAACAAGCAACACAAATTCTACATTAATACACGACGTGGTTAGGAGTCAGACTGGAGGGTTCAAACCCCACTACATTATTTACTCTCTGTGTGATGCTGCAGTGTCACTGAACCTCTGTACTGCATTTCCTTATTTGTGTACTTGTGCTAATAGAAATTTATAACTTTATAATTTGTAGAACTACTAAATGATCATTCAGATGTGCATGTACATGTGTAAATGCATGGTGTGTTTAGCCCTTAGGTGACAGTATCATTGAATAAAATCAACTTGCATTAATAGGAGTATATCACCTGGGTTTGATAAAGCTGAGTTTTACCTGTAGAGAGGCAGAGGCGATAATTGCCTAGGTATTTAGTGATTATTCTGTAGAACTGCATCATTTCTATTTTGAATTACAGGTATCTTGAACAAGTTTGTGCCCCTAAATGTGATAAATATAGGGGTTTGGTGGGGATGTATGCATTTCTAGTAGTGTCTTTACTTGTGAAAGCTTTATATTAAGGAGAAAATGTGAAAATATCAGTACCATTAATATTTGAAAAATGCTTTCTTGGATATTTGGGCACTGATCTGAGATATCTGAAGAGCCATCAGACATTTCAGTATGCAGGCTGAACCTGTGCATAAGTATCTCCTTAGCTCCCTGAAATTGTGAGAGAAAATGTCCCCATACAGGCTTCTGTGTCCCCTCTCTCTGACAACAGCAGGTGTTCAAACCTGGTACAGCACTGCCAGGGTTCCCGGGCCAGCACAGCATGTGGTTACTGAGGATTGAGCCCAGGTTCTTGAACTCACCCAGCAGGTGCTTAGACTGCTGAGCTATCTCCCCAGCCCCAAAACATTAATTTTGAGGGGCATAAACAATCAGACCACAGCACCTTAAAAATCCATCTTCTTCTTTATAAGTATATATGTCTCTGAGGCTGTTTCCTTAGTAAGATTAGACTGCTCTTTAATTAGTATTTAATAGAAGCCATACACAATTTCAGACAATGTAATACAAATATTAAATATGAAATTTAATGGGAATATTAAATATGAAATTTATAAATCACATGTCAAGGTACCTAAGACAAAGTAGGCATCTACTAATGTCTAGTTGTTATGATCACAAAATGTTTGCTAACATTTTTTATGAACTATGTTACAGCTAAGTGGTTTTAAATAAAAATTAATGATACTGCTAAAAATAAATAAAGTCAAATATTTTATGAACAAAAGTATGCTTGTTTCAGAATTATAAAATCTCCTTCCCTTTCTCTCAGAAAGGATCAAATCAGAAAAATAAGAAATTTTAGAATATTGATGTAAGACAAATTTTGTGATTACCTGCAAATAAAATGACAAAGCCATCTTTTTAATTACAGATGCGAGGAGCATCTCTTGGCAATTTTCATTTCATAGGTATGAGTTTAGGGGCTCATATCTGTGGTTTTGTTGGAAAGATATTTCATGGTGAACTCGGAAGAATAACAGGTAAAATAACTTTCTATAAATTAGCATTTGGAAATATTTTGGGGTATTACAGTTTGTTTCATTAAAATTTGAACCAATAGGAGGCTGGAGAGATAGCTCAACATCTAAGCACCTGCCTGGTAAGGGTGAAGACTTGGGTTCGATCCCTGATACCACATACCATGCTGGCCTCAGAACCCTGGACACACTGTGCTGGCCGCCGGAACTGAACATGGTGGTGCATGCCTGTAATCCTAGTGCTGGGGAGGCTGAGACAGGAGAATCACTATGAGTCTGAGCTGCATAGTGATCCTGTACTAAATAAATAAATAAATTTTAAAAATTAAAAAAAATTAACCTATAGAATTAAACATTGTAAGTAATGTATGCATATTTATTTTTCATATATTTCATTCAAATGTCTTTTATTTTAGTCAGACTCTAATTTCTTGTGCCCCCTAGAGAATTAAATTATTACGGAAATGAGAGGAAATAATTTTCTATCATTGAATTTAATTTTTTTTGAAACGGAGTCTCACTGTGTAGTCCAAGCTGGACTTCAACTCCTTATGTAGTCAAGGCTGACCTTGCACTCTTAGCAACCCTTCTGCCTCAGGCTACCAAGTGGTAGGCTCGTAGGAATTAGCCACCATGCTCAGCTCAGTGCTATCCAAATTTTAATGACACAATATTATAAGAGTAAAGACAAAAATATGGACCATCAATTTAAAAAGGTGCTTTGTATCTTTATTAGCTAAACTTTAATAATTCATAGTTCACAAATTTTGATGGATTCAAATCCTGTAAATATTTTTACTTGAGAGCTAGGAGAGTCTACTTCCCAGCCTCTATGGTGGTCCTATGACAAAGGGAACAGCATCTGGGAAACCCCGCAACAACACACTGTTAAGAAAAGTTTCACTCCTCTAAGCAGTGGCAGTGTTTTCAAAAAGTTGAATAATACCCTTCTCAAAGCAACTTATGTTATTTTTTTCTTTAGAAACAACTGGTAACCATGCTTATAGAAGATGGATAATAATTTTAGGTTTATTAAAAGATAATATAGTCTTTAGTTAAATTTTAAATAAAGGTGAAAGTACATGTAAAAGAACTTGTATCAATACGTGTATCTATGCACTTACAAGTCCTTTGCAGTGGCACTGTGTATCAGACAGTTATCATGACTTAAGATCCACAAACATGAAGCTTCTACATCAGAGCAATTTATGGGAAAGGGAAAAGCAGATCATTCAGCCAACTGGGAAACTTAAAATAGGGCTGACAGGAGAGTCTGAGCTGATATCGTTGTATTGTGCTTTTTAAATTATGCCTTAAAGATGATTGTTTCATTTACTGCATAGCTATGCTGAAGACATTTAATTTTATGTTTCCTCATCTTTGTGATGTTCTTCAGAAAATCATGAGCCTAGAATTTTTATGTTGAATTCATAATACTCCAGAAATAATATCTATACTCATTAAAATGTTAATATATTTTTTTTTTCTTAAAGAGCAGGGCAATCGCTAGTGAGAAATGAATGAGAACATATTAGTTCATATATGTTTTGTCCCAATATTCAAATAATGTTTGTCACCTAAAAATCATTTTCAATCCAGTGACATAAATGAATAACTAATAACGCACAAAGTTCAGGACAGGATAAGTGGTATTCCTTGCTGTCTCCCCTCCCCACAAGAGCAGTGGTACTAAATATAAAGTTTTAAAGTTTATTTTGAATTTCCATTTAAACAAAATAAAATGTCTTAACATATTTTATTAGTGTAAATTGCATTGCATGAATGGATAGCCTTTGAAAGTTTGTAATAAGTATTCAACCACAAAAATATTTGCTATTTATCACATCTCATTTATGCTTTTTGGACAAGTTTAAAACTATAAATGCTCGTTATGCTTAGAATAGAAGTATGCAATATAGTGAATATTTAAATAAGACTTGATTGAATCAAATGTTTGTTTTATTTCAGGTCTTGATCCTGCAGGGCCAAAATTTTCTGGTAAACCATCAAACAGCAGGCTGGATTACACTGATGCGAAGCTCGTGGACGTCCTCCATTCTGATGCCCACGGTAACAAAGGGGATTTATGGCTTTATTATTTAAAAAGGAAAAACAAAACGCAGACCATGGAGAAGAGGTTAAAAGAGGAGGAAGCGTTTTCGATAAAAATGTTCTCTGTTAATGGTTCCCTATCTTGGTAAACAGCACTGTTTTGCATTGAGTTTGCCTTCTTGAGATTTCGTGAGGAATCCCGTCACCCTGAACAATGAGACTTCATGAAACAGTCTGCTTTGTGCAGTTGCTGACTGTCCTTGATTTGATCATTCTGTCTTCTCACACTTAATGGTGCAGCGGTGTTTGGGTCACTCTTTTGACTCGTGTTCTTGATATGAGCTATACCAACTGGTCTTTCAATTGCACAGAGAATATTTTTCCTAAAGGTAGGAAAATAATTTCTGTACTTTTAAATAATCTTCATGAAAATCTCTAATGAGGTATTAGTAGTATTGGCCCCGATGCCTTTCCAAACTTTAATCTGGCAGCACTTTTTATTGAATACTTTGTGTGTGTCATGCAGTGATTCAAATGTTTTACATGACTTAAATATGAAATTCTAGTATGTCCTAATAAGTTCATTACTATATTCTGTGGTGAACTAGGGTCAAGGTCACCCAGTCAGTAATTGGCAAAGTTAGAATTTGAAATCATATCTTCTGATTACAGAGTCTGAACTTCATTGCTAGATTATTTTGATGAACTGCTAACATAGGTGCACTGTAGCTTAGGGAGTGGGAAGGGAGGAGATGAAACTAAGGCTCCTCTCCTGAGGTTTCCTTTCATTTTGAACCCCGGCATACTACCTTAGCAACCTCAATTAATCTTTCAGATTCATTAATCTTAACAACCTCAACCACTTTTTGCCTTATATGTATATATAACAAATATATGCCAATATCAACATGGGTTAAGAGGATTATTCAACCCAAATGAATATGTATTGGACTAAGGCTATACCAGAAACAACTGCTCTGTATTTAGAAGTTATGTTCACCTTCTTTTTTACTGAAAGCTACTGCTTAAAGATTTATGATTTTATTATGCTAGCCCAACCTCACATTCTTTTTTATAACTTAGACCTTAATATAAGTTCAGCACAGTCTCCCATGAAACAGCTATTCTCTAGTTACTGGGCCCTCCATTGTCTGAACACTTTTGTTTTTCCTTCAAACTGTAATTTAATTCTGAGTATAGTCTTTCCAATTGGCTCTTTGTATTTTTTACTACCTTTGTTTACATTTTTAAAAACATTTCTTACTAAACTGTGTAGGATTGTCTTATCTTCTTATAATCTTTTGGAGACTCAATGTACCAGATCTAACCTAGCATTAACTGTCACATAGATGACACCCCGGATTGATTTTTTTAAAAAATAAT